CTCTTTGCCATACTCCCTGCATCCCTCCAGGCGCTACTTCATCGAAGCTAACTTGCGGTCTGCCGGATGCGCTTTTATACTTCCTGGTGCTCACGTCACCCCGCTCGTGATGTCTCGCTGCTCCATTGGACTGATTTTACACGTGCTTCAGAACGCGGTCCATCAGGGGCGTTCCCAAAGCGATCGCGACACAGCGTCTCGTTCCCTCGAGGAACCATGGTTACATACGTAACCTAGAGACGTTTCTATTGATGTATGGTTTGTTAGGATAGGGCAATATTTGGCTGAGAAACAACTATTTGAAAATCTTGAATCTGAGGGTATTACTAATCAAAAATTAAGTTGTGATATATTTACGGTAGGAAAATTTACAAAATATATTCATGGGACATAATCTTTACTTAATATCCTAATAATTTTGGGCATAAAAGAAAAATCGATAATTTTGACCCATACATTACTTTGTTGATGTCACGTGTATGTTCCTGTTTGTCCTTATTTGGTTTGGTTCCTGTTCCCATTATTAGTATTCACCTGTTCCTTGTTATTAGTTATCCTCCTCACCTGTCTGCCCCTCGTTATCTGCCCTATTTGAGTTCGAGCCCATTCTGTTCTCCCTTGTCTGGAATTGTTCATGCCAACCTTTGCTACGTGTGTTTTCCTGTTCCCTTGGATATTATTAAAGTATGTATGTTTGAATTGGACTTTGCGTCTCCTCGTTCCTCGCTCCGTGCTCCTCACAGTAGCATCCCGTGACAGAATTACAGACCTAACAAAATAGTAAGCGGCACCCCTTCTCCCCGTTTTGTCTTCATTTGTTGAAAGTTTTTTGTTTTCCCAGTTTCTCCCTGCGGCTATGGAAGTTGCCGCTTGCTTCACCGCCCTAGCTCACCTGGATCTCCCGCTTGTGGAGTATTCGTGGGACTTCTGCGGGCTCATCGCTACTATGGCGTTGGATGACGCCCAATTAACTCTCTGTTCTGGATCGGGACCAACTACTATCACCCTGTGGACCTCCCAGACACCACTGGACTGAGCTGGAGAGAAGGGATCCTCTGGTGTCTGGAGAGTGTCCATCCCTGATCCAGAACCAGCTCGCCGTCAGGCTCGCTGGCCTCTCCTACGTCAAGCCCACCGGCCGCCGCTGACTCGGCGTTCTTGGACATGGCACTTGTCCGCGAAAAATAGAATCCGCTCCAGAAAGTTCTCCTTCGTCTTCGCTAGTCCCTTCCAGCTCTCCATCGTCCCCTGAGTCTCCTTTGTCTCCACTGGTCCCGTCCAGCCCTCCTTCGTCTCCTGATTCCCCCGTGTTAGCCAGCCCTGCACCTCCAGAGCGCCCTCCAGAGTCAGCTCCTCCAGAGCGTGCTTCAGAGTTAGCTCCTCCAGAGCGCCCTCCAGTGCCCGCCCCTCCAGAGCACCCTCCAGAGCGCCCTCCAGTGCCCGCTCCTCCAGAGAGCCCTCAAGTGCCCGCTCCTGCAGAGCGCCCCTCAGAATTCCTAATTTTCCCCAAGAAGATTTTTAGGGGGGGCCATGTGGCCGTGGTGGCCGAGCCGACTAAGGTCACGGAGGATCCGCCATGGCCTCCTGAGTCCCCTGCTCTGCCATGGCAACCTGAACTACCTGCTCCGCCATGGCTCCTCGGACTGCCTGATCCACCCTGGAGGCCCTCCCTGTGTCCCTGTCTTGCACCAGCCTCCAGGGCGCCCACCCCAGTAATGGGCGCCAGTAATGTCACGTGTATGTTCCTGTTTGTCTTTATTTGGCTTGTTTCCTGTTCCCATTATTAGTAGTCACCTGTTCCTTGTTATTAGTTATCCTCCTCACCTCACCTCCCCTCATTATCTGCCCTATTTGAGTTTGAACCCGTTCTGTTCTCCCTTGTCTGGAATTGTTCATGTCAACCTTTGCTACATGTGTTTTCCTGTTCCCTTGGATATTATTAAAGTTTGTATGTTTGAACTGGACTCTGCGTCTCCTCGTGCCTCGCTCCGTGCTCCTCACAGTAGCTATTGCTACAAATATACCCGTGCGACTTAAGACTGGTTTTGTGGTCCAGGGTCACATTTATATTTGTATGTTATGGACATTTTTTGCCTTGAACTTGCTGACACAACAAAATATTGTATTTTTTAGAAATATATTTTTTCTTTAAAAAGATCCTACAGGATAGAAAAGTTCTCGTAACTGAATATTCATCCACTGTATGTTTGAACTGGACTCTGCGTCTCCTCGTGCCTCGCTCCGTGCTCCTCACAGTAGCTATTGCTACAAATATACCCGTGCAACTTAAGACTGGTTTTGTGTAAAAGATCCTACAGGATAGAAAAGTTCTCGTAACTGAATATTCATCCAGATATTCAGACTAAGTTTGACCATTTTTGGGGGGGAAATAACAACACAAATGTTTGGTAATAGAATGTTATACACTATTTTGGATTAATATATATGTGTGGTGGTGTTTTAAAATGAGGAGGCAGTTATCTATATATATATATATATATATATATATATATAGGCCTATATACTGTACATGTCCCTGTTGCATTTAATGTTGTCACATTTTCCTGGTTAAATAAATATTACATAAAAAAGAGAACAAATATAATTCTATTTTGTATTTTATTCATATTATTTGTATTTTATTTTATATTTTTAATACTAATTATACATTTCATAGTGTTTTTATGCATTTTTATATTTATTCCAAATTAATAACTAAAGGCAGTAACAATTTGAACAATATTTTGGAAACAATTTACAATAATGTTTCATTAGTTAACATGAACTAAGAATAAACAATAGCCTACTTCTACAGCATTTATTAATCTTAGTTAATATTAATTTCAACATTTACTAATGCACTATTAAAGTCAAAAGTTGTGTTTGTTAACATTAGTTTATGTACTGTGAATTAACATGAACTTACAATGAACAACAGTATTTGTATTAACTATTGTAAACAAAGATTAATAAATACTGTAATAAATGTTCATTGTTTGTTCATATTAGTTAACACATTAAATAACTCCTTATTGTAAAATGTTACCAACATTTTTTATTTGTGAACTGATATTCAGCTGTTCTTTTTAATAGTCAACTTATTTCGGGGGTGTGTGGTCCAGGGTCACATTTATATTTGTATGTTATGGACATTTTTTGCCTTGAATTTGCTGACACAACAAAATATTGTATTTTTTAGAAATATATTTTTTCTTTAAAAGATCCTACAGGATAGAAAAGTTCTCGTAACTGAATATTCATCCAGATATTCAGACTAAGTTTGACCATTTTTGGGGGGGAAATAACAACACAAATGTTTGGTAATAGAATGTTATACACTATTTTGGATTAATATATATGTGTGGTGGTGTTTTAAAATGAGGAGGCAGTTATCTATATATATATATATATATATATATATATACCTATATACTGTACATGTCCCTGTTGCATTTAATGTTGTCACATTTTCCTGGTTAAATAAATATTACATAAAAAAGAGAACAAATATAATTCTATTTTGTATTTTATTCATATTATTTGTATTTTATTTTATATTTTTAATACTAATTATACATTTCATAGTGTTTTTATGCATTTTTATATTTATTCCAAATTAATAACTAAAGGCAGTAACAATTTGAACAATATTTTGGAAACAATTTACAATAATGTTTCATTAGTTAACATGAACTAAGAATAAACAATAGCCTACTTCTACAGCATTTATTAATCTTAGTTAATATTAATTTCAACATTTACTAATGCACTATTAAAGTCAAAAGTTGTGTTTGTTAACATTAGTTTATGTACTGTGAATTAACATGAACTTACAATGAACAACAGTATTTGTATTAACTATTGTAAACAAAGATTAATAAATACTGTAATAAATGTTCATTGTTTGTTCATATTAGTTAACACATTAAATAACTCCTTATTGTAAAATGTTACCAACATTTTTTATTTGTGAACTGATATTCAGCTGTTCTTTTTAATAGTCAACTTATTTCGGGTCATTGTCATAAAAGCTCTGTAAACACTGCCACAGACACGAAGATATATCTTTTCATTTCATCACGCTGAACGCTCACTAAAAACTGACACAGTCATCACGTTTTCTGACCATTTCAAGTTTTAGTTTGACGTTAACTTTACCTGCGGGTGTCGCTGTTAGACAGTGTTACTTTATAAAAACGAGTGACTTTTGTACTTTTAATGCCGTATTTAGTAATAGTTGTGATTAATGCTTGTAATATCAATTATTTTGTCATCCAATTTTTTTGAGGAGACACTGCCTCCCTTGCCTCCTCGGAGGGAACGTCCCTGATATATACACTTTTAATATATATATATATATATATTACAATTAAAAATTTTCTATTTTAATATATTTTAAAATGTAATTTATTCATGTGATGACAAAGCTGAACTTTCAGCAACTTTTATTCTAGTCTTTAGTGTTGCATGCTCCTTCAGAAACAATTCTAAAAGGCTGATTTGATGCTCAAGAAACATTTTTTTATTATCATCGTCGAAAACAGTTATGCTGCTTAATATGCTTTTTTCAGGATTCTTTGATGAATAGAAAGTTAAAAAGAACATTTATCTAAAATAGATTTTTTTTGTCTATACTGTCATTTTTCATCGATTTAATGCATCCTAAATATTAATAAAAGTATTAATTATTATTATTATTATTATTTTAGTTTTACTGACCCCAGGCTTTTAAATGGTAGTGTAAATGCCTAAATGTCTTTGCATCCTTCTTCTGTTGCCAGACGGCCATTTCCCGCTGGTGATCGAGTCACGTTTAATGGAAAAGACTGTCTCTGCCAGCATTGCGTCCAGCCAACTTCCCCGACTCCCAAAGACATCAGCGCCTCTAGTAGTGAGTCCACACTCTCACACACGTGTGTTTGAGCTTATTGGTTATGTTTTAGTGTCCTACTCAGATTTCAGCTTGCCACAATCATCCCCCTTTTATAGATGTGTTAGATTGTGTAGTTTATGTGTGTGTTGCCAGGTCTTATACTGCTCAGGACTCAAGGTCATTGCTGCAAGTTTGAAGCTCTGTGTCTCTTCATCTGTCTTGTGTGTCTCCTGTCAAAAAGGCACATGAGGTAGTTGTGTTCTGAACAACTTAAATCTTCATTCATTTAGTGTATGATGCCCAGTTCTTCCTGTTACCATTTACAATTGTAATTACATTTACATTATATTGCCATTACATTTACAGTTGGCAATTGTATGATGCCTAGTGTTCTAAAATCAGAACATTTTTAAAAGTGCACTCCAGCCTTTATTAGCAATGTTCTAAAAGCCAGTCAAAATACATTTGAAACCCCCAACAACTGCCACAAACACATTAGGCAAGTATGAAGCATTGTGCTTATACCAGTCAGAATACATGTGCTGTACATTATCAACCACATAGGAATGCCTTGGCACCCATCCACAGCACCCAAAAACCATGATGGCTTTTACACAGGCAAGTATTTATTCTGAAATATCGTTGTAATAAAGATCCCCGCTTCATTTCAGACTCCTCTAGGGTTACTTGAGTTGACAGGATGCTTAAACCAATTCCTGTGCTGTCAACCAGGGAAAAGCTGATCTCCTTATAAATGTTTCTCTCTTTGATTTCTCTCACTCTTTTATCTCACTTTGAGGAAGTTCTCCATCCTCCTCCGGTAGATTAGGGGTTCTCTTGGTGTAATTTAAGCTGCGGGGCCCCAGAAGTCAAGCAGACAGGCACAGAGAATGAGAGAGGCTCAGGGCCAATGAAAAGCTCAGAGCACTCCTGTGCCTGCTGGTTGTCCCATTCTCTCTCACTCGCTTTCTCTGACCTTCCGCTCTCTGATACATTCTGGACTGATGGATGCTGACAGGTCAGGGCTCCGCATGTGTAAAATGTGCCGATTTCCTGAGGTTTGGGATTTCTTTATTATAGTAAATGGCTCTAGTCATTCAACTCAAATTGTCATAATGCAGGGAATCATTGTTACATAACAACATCAGGTGATGGACAATTACAGGAGCAATTTAGCAATGAATAGCTGCTGTGTTGCAGAGGAGAGAATTAATGTAATTCTAAGCATTGCATCATGGGATTGGGTTGATTGAGAAAACATTGTGTAGACCATGTATCAGTGGAGTTTGACTGTTTTTGCTTGGGTGGGAAAAAGGTGCGGGACACACACACATTACTGTTCAAAAATAAGATTTAATAATTGTATTCAAGGACATATATAAAAAGCAACAATATCACAAATGATTTCAGGTAAATGCTGTTTTTTAACTCTCTATTCATTAAAAATATTAAGCAGAACAACTGTTTTCAGCATTGATAATAATAAGTTACTTGAGCACCAAATCATAATATTAGAATGATTTTTGGAGGATCATGTGACAGAAGACTAGAGTCATTAAGATTAGCATAAAGTAAAGTCAATTTCAAAATGAATTTGAATTCAAATAAATTAACTAAATTGAAATAATATTTCATAATATTGCTGTTTTTACTGTAATTTTGTATCTAATAAATGCAGCTTAGGTGAACGGCAAAGACTTCTTTTAGAAACATTTAAAAATCAACAAAATATAATTAAATCAAGTATAATTAGTATGCTTCAAGTGTTTCTAGACATCACAGCATTATAATGTACGGTATGAAACATTTATATTAATTTTGAGATTTGCTAAATAATACATGTCTACCATGTTAACTTTAAATGAGCGTTACATAACAACAAAGATAATCCTAATGTAAAAAAGGGAAAATGAGCATGCACAATTAAATATTTGCCGAAGTGGTATCACTATTTTAGTTATAATCATGAATTTTATTTTAATCTGCCTATGTGTCCGTCTCGCTTTCCTGCATGTTCTTCTTTCCCTCTTTCTCAGTTAACTTTCTCCTCTTCTCCTATATGTGCAAGCATCCGTACTTACACACACAGACTTAAAGAGCCCTCCTTAATATCTCTTTGTGTCATGCTTGGCTGAATATTTGTCATTCACGAGCCCCAGGAAATTATTTGAGGCTGATGAAAGTCTTTAAAGTGCTTTGTTTTTTGGAAGGTGCTGATTGTTTCGAGCCATGATAATGCTGCTTTGGCAAACCCCACAAAGCTTTTATGGCATAACACTTCTAAAAACCTGCACTGAGTCTGATATTTTAGATAAACCTTATGACAGGTGGATTGAACGCAGGTCTCTTTGAAACACACACACACACACAGTACAGGCAGAGGTTGAGAAGGCTTAATGATGCATTAGAGTGCTAGATTCAGAGCGGTGCATTAAATACTCTCCTCAATGTCAGTGGTTACCATTGTGCCTCAAGCAACATCAGCAGCGTCTGGGACCTCCCCACCCCTCCGCATACATCCCTGCTTTTTAAAAAAGCTTTTGGGATTTCAGCCAAGGAACATAAATAGAAGATGACAACCATGAGCTATTTTTATCCCTCAGCCTTTTACACAGGTTACACATGTAGCCTATTAACTAAATTCCCTCGCATTCCTCGAGGAAGAAGCTCCATCTTGTGGAGGGAGGATGCTCTGCTTTTAGAAATGGTACTGTAGGCCCTTCAATTAGTCATGCAATATAATAATGATTCACTATTGATCGCTGCAGTAATTTTATGGTTACAATATGCTTTGCTTTAAATTACTTCTGAGAGCCTGAATAGTCAGTGCTGTGGGTTGTAGATCAACAGGCCTTTCAAAAACGAAAGGAGTTTTTTTTTAGTTGACACTGACATCTAGTGGAGAGAATTGTTTGTGCACAAGTGACCCCAAAAACTTAAAAAATATGCAATTGCATCTTATCTGAATATACCTGCCCTACTGTGTATCATCAATATTGCTAACTAAAACTATTTAAAACAGTTGTCGGTAATTGAAATAAAGCTGACATAAAATATGAATTTTACATGAGAAACTTCTACTTAAAAAACAGAACAAAAATGAGACTGAAAAGTACTGAAATTAGCTCAACTAAAACTGAAATAAAAATAACTGAAAGCTACATAGCTTTAATAGTTATTTTTAAATGATTTTAAAATAATATTTAAAAATGATTAAAATGACAAGCATATAACGTATTTACAAAATGTATATGAAATTTGAAAATATTAAAATAAAATCTAGTTCAAAATATCAATAAATTCTATAATAGTATGTAAATAACACTAAAATCGCACTGCTATGTAATATAGGAAAAGCTCTAAATTAAATATCTTGTGAATAGCAATTGCAAATCTTATCATGGCTAATGGCTGATAAACGAAATATTTTTGGCTTATAAAAAAAAGCTCTTTAATATGTGTTATCCTACTTCCTGTTTCTCATTAACATGTCAAAATGTCATGTAGTCTGTAAATGTCATTTTCAGGCCGCTATTAGTATTCACTATGTGTGTGTGATGGTCTGCATCTGTGTGTGTTTTCTTGCAGACTGTGCAGGATGTGGCAGGGATATAAAGAACGGTCAGGCTCTTCTGGCCTTGGACAGCCAGTGGCACCTCGGCTGTTTCAAGTGCAAGGCCTGTGGGAAAGTGCTGAGCGGGGAGTACATCAGCAAGTGAGCTATGCCTTAATTATTTTTTATCTCTTGCCATCTCGTGCCTCCCGCTTTCTCTCTACAATTCCCCATCTCTTATCTGTCCTCTTTTCTTATAGCATTCAATTTTTGCTCTTATCCTGGTTTCATTGAGGTGAAATAGAATACAGTAAAAACATAAATCTCTCTTCCTGTCCTGCTCTCTTTTTTAAGGGATGGTTCTCCATACTGTGAGAAAGACTACCAGATCCATTTTGGCGTGCAGTGTGAGGCCTGTCATCAGTTTATCACAGGGAAAGTTTTGGAGGTGAGTAACTATATATATGTGTATTAGACTCTTGGCTCTTTTTAATACTATTGAGCTGCCTGCATACAGTAGGCAGCTCATTAAGGTATCATAGCTAGGCTCCAGATGTGAAGGGGGTTGCAGCATTATTATATTGCCTTCTTAAATATATAAGGTAGAATGAACAATCTAATCCCTTAATAATGCACTGAGGATAAAGCAAGAGAAATGTTTATGTTTATCTATTTAGAATTTATTTATTATTAATATTTTTTGAGTAATATTATTAAAATATTGTAATATTATAAAATGCAATGCAATAAAATTAATTTATGCTATATACACTGCCATTAAGACATTTGGGGTCAGTAAACTTTTCAAAAAGTCTTTTTTTTTTAAGTTTTAAAAATGTTTTTTTGAAATAAATACTTTTATTTAACAAGAACACATTAAATTGATCAAAAGTGAAATAATGATGTTTATAATGTTACAAAAGATTTCTGTTTCAAATGCTGTTTTTTTTACTTTCATTTCATCAAAGAATCCTGATTTTTTTTATCATGGTTTTCACAACAATATTAAGCAGCATCTGTGATGAACATTGATAATAATAAGAAATTTGTCCTGAGCACCAAATCAGCGTATTAAAATCATTTCTGAAGGATCATGTGTCACTGAAGACTGCTGAAAATTTAGCTTTGCCATCACAGGAATACATTACATTTTGAAATATATTGAAGTAAAAAACTACTAAAATTGTAAAAAAAATATTTGACAATATTGCTGTTTTTACCAACCCCAAACTTTTAAAAGATAGTGTACTTTCTTCAATGTAGGTAAAGTTTAATTTTGCATTTATGATGTATTTACTTAACAGTTAAATTAACAGTTCATTAAGAGAAATAATAATTACACAAATTGTTGCCATACAATCATTCATCAACACATGCCATCAAATTAATATTGGTAGTAATTTGATAAGAAACCTTTGTGTTCAGATTGAAATCACTGACTTTTGTTTGCAACAAAATATCTTATCCTGACTAATTTGAGCACAGTTTGAAACATTGTTGAGTTTTCTTCTGATGAATCAGAATCAGAAAAATCTGAGAAGCAGGAGACCTACAGTAATTTGCTCTCAATTTAGTCCCATTGCTTTCTAGAAGACACATTTGAGATATCCCCGAGATCTCTATTGTGAGTTTTCCTGCTTACGGATATTAAAAATGGTCTCTTGTGGATTTTCAGTGTTTTATAGTCATGTCAGTATGTGTCAGGGTTCCAGATTCTTACACTTCCGCTCCCACTAAACATCTGGATCCCCTAAGAGTGGATGTCCACACACAAATCTCAACATCCAACAACATGGCTGAACTTACATCATTGCTCCATTCATCAAACATTTTAGAACTGACACCGGCCCTATGGGAATAGAGCAAAACAGCAGCGTTGGGTGGATTTCAAGGTCCCGCCTAGCTATTGTACACGGGACGGCCCCTTTGAGGCCGGGCCCCTCTGATAGGGTGGGAGAGCGGTGAGATAGAGAGGGGGGAATTTAGGAAAATTCTCAAGAAAAGTCAAAGGGAAAACGTGCGGGACTAAAGGGGAATATAGGAGTTCTCTCGAACAAGAGAGTGCAAGTGACAAAAGTGATTTAACTGCAAAGTCGCAGGGCTGGGGTGCCACACGAGCAGCCTGCCAGAGGTAATGTTTCTAATAGTTTCAATAGAGGTGGTTTCTCATTTTCTATTTTAAAGCACTTGACAAACATGCAGTTATGTCAGAGTGTAAATACTTCAGAGATTTTTCGTTGCTGTTTTGGTGATCATGGTCAAGCTTTGTCATCCTGATTATGCTGACCTGTCAACAGTCTATTAGTTACCGGTTCTCATCAGTGCTTTCTCATACACTGTCTGTTTGCACTTATACACTCAAGTAGACTAGTTGTGTTTATGGGGAACTGTGCAGCCACAGATGGTGGAAAGGAAGTGCGCTGGAATCTTATGCATGTGTGAGCGCAGAAGATCAAAACCAGCTCTCTGTCTATATAAATCCAAGCAGATATGTGTAGAATCTCAATGTAATGTTGAGAGCAACAGATGCCGCCAGTCTGCAGATGGCATTGCGCCCGTGCCAAGGAGGCCATTCAGATTTGATGAGGGATGAATAGTGCTTATAAACATTGCTGTGGAACTCTTATTTTAGGTTTGGTTAGGCCTACAATTAAGACTTTGCAGTTAGCAGTTTGTTTTCTGTGTGCTATTAAACATTTATGTTGGGTACAGATGCTCACACGTGCTATTTTGTTCTGAGTAAGCTTGATTACTCTGGGCTGTCAGCTTCTATATGTCAACCGTGGATAAGTTATTTAACTGCAATGAAGTTTCACTCTCATTAAACCTCTCCAATGAGTGTCTAATGAGACTATCCAGAAATGACAAGTCTGCCGCGCCAGCTGGCCCTGCATTATCTCACCACACACACATGCATATCCAGAATAAACCAGACACCCGGAGAGAAATTGCTCAAAGGTTGTTCTTTTGAAGGTCACAAGACCTACTGGAGTTGCATTTAATATCAGTAACGTTATCTTACATATTCCCCTCTAAATGTTTTTCTTGAAGAATGCAAATGAGAAGATAGCTGACAGAGTAAGACAACAGCGCTATAAAATGAATATGGACGGCATAGCTCACATAATTTGGCTTCAGAAGAATTTAATGACTTTTTGAGTGCAGACTTTCAAACATTCAAAAGTTTGGAGTCAGTAAAAAAATGTTTGGTAACACTTTAGTCTAGTTGCCTATTAGCATGCCTATTATTATCACAATGGTTGTTTATTAGTGCTTATAAAGCATTTATTCTACATGACCATATTCTACATCCCTAACACCTAAATTGATCAACTGCCTTACTAACTATAATGAGCAAATTATGAGTTTATTGAGGCAAAAGTCATTTAATGGTTTGTTAATAGCGGGAATTTATCCTTATATTGTGACCAATTGTTTCAGCAAAGATGCATTAAATTAATCAAAAGTAAAGACATATCAATTTCAAATAAATGTTGTTCTTTTGAACTTTCTACTCAACAAATAATCTTGAAATAAATGTAGTACATTTTCTACAAAAATATTAAGCAGCAGAACTGTTTTCAACATTGTTGATAATAAAAATTTTAATTGAGCACCAAATCAGCATATTAAAATTATTTCTGAAGAATCATGTTACACTGAAGACTGGAGTAATGGCTGCTGAAAATTCATCTTTGTTCTTACAGGAGTAATCCATATAATAAAATAGAACATTTAAAATTGTAATTCTATTTTGTAATATTACTGTTTATACTATACTTTTGAAATGCAGCCTTGGTGAGCATAACATAATTATTTTAAGTATCTTACCAACCCAAAACAAGCTTTTACAGGGGCATGAGATTACAACTGTATTGGGAATTATCAATCTCCCAAGATTATCAATACTGAACAGTAATTATTACATTAAAGAAAACTTTTTTTGTTGTTTATTATTATTTTTTTGTTGTATTCTTTATTTGAACACTTTGTGGCTGTTGGGTTTTGTTCACATGGTTTGTTTTTTTCTGTTTGCTGTAATACTGTATTGTCTGCTGTCTCAGCAATCAGCACCTTGTCAGATTCACTTGTCTGGCTCTTTCCTCAGTGGGCAGGTTTGTGGAGTGGAGTGTTTAAGTTCAGATAGGAGAGGAGATATACACAACAATGCATACTGTGAGTCAGGCAATACAAAGCGGGGTTATGTTACTGACTACAGATGAAAATGACTCCTACTGGCATTCATACACACACTACAAATGTTAGCACCCTTACTGAAAAGGCCAGTAAAAATGTCCATTCTGGACCATGCAGTGCCCAACTGGTCAAAGCAAATTTTGCCCATGTTGAGCTAGGAGAGCAGCTACTGTAGCTAAACCAGCTGAGCACCATTTTGGGAAATAAACCATCTGAACACTATTTTAGCCAGGTTTGGAAACTAGCTAAGAACAGCAAAAGCTGTTTTTCAGTATAGTGCTTTTAGTTCAGTAAAGTTTTGCTGGTTAATGATGAATAAACAACTTAGTAGGGTTAGTTAGCTGCACATAAATATCATGTGCATGGGACCAGCAGCATCCAAAATAATAGTCATCTATCCAAGAACTTTGTTTTTTCTCTCTCTTACATTTTTTGTTTCCGAGTCATCATTCCCACTTGCTGTTTTCTCTTCATCCCGGTCTCCCTCCCTCTCTCTGGCTCTGTCTTCTGTCCACACCCCTCCATCTGGGCTGAAGCAGAGGCATGGACTGTTCTTGGCCCATTTATTCAGAGTTCACTGCTCTATGTTTTCTGTGTTGGCTTCTTGTGATGCAATAGGAAATGACTGCTAGTCTCAGACAGAGCGCTACACAGAGAGGTAGAACATGTTGTCACTCTGGTTTGTTTACTGGAAAACGGTTACATGGCCTTGTTGCCATGGCAACGAGGCCCGGGAGCCAAGGGGACACATCTGTGTGAAATCATGCGTTTCAGCTGCATTGCCTCATAGTTAAAGACAGCAGAGGACCATGGGATGTTTCCCCTGCAGAGGAGCCAAATGGGCAACTCCCTCCTCAACACTCAGAGCTCCAGCTGATAGAGGAACAACAAAACAATTTAATTGTGTGCCTGTATGAGAAACAAGAGTAATAAACAAAGCTTTAGGTTTTCTGGTGCAGTATAGCTCCTGTAAATGTATGATATGAATTTCAACGAGAAAAAGAGCAAATCTTTTCTTTTTTTTTTAAACAATTCAATCATTCCAAACCTTTCTGAATAAAATGTAAAAATAAAATAAAATAGTAAAAAAAATAGTAGTTATTGTTAGATTTATATTTCCCATAAATATGAAAAAAATTCTTACCATAACTTCGGTAACATGGATAAAATTCAAACTTTTTTGAGTTGTTTTATTATTTGTTTTCCTATAGTTTGGTACGTCTAAATATAGCTGATTTCCATTAAAAGCTCCAGCTGATAGAGGAACAACAAAACAATTTAATTGTGTGCCTGTATGAGAAACAAGAGTAATAAACAAAGCTTTAGGTTTTCTGGTGCAGTATAGCTCCTGTAAATGTATGATATGAATTTCAACGAGAAAAAGAGCAAATCTTTTTTTTTTTTTAAACAATTCAATCATTCCAAACCTTTCTGAATAAAATGTAAAAATAAAATAAAATAGTAAAAAAAATAGTAGTTATTGTTAGATTTATATTTCCCATAAATATGAAAAAAATTCTTACCATAACTTCGGTAACATGGATAAAATTCAAACTTTTTTGAGTTGTTTTATTATTTGTTTTCCTATAGTTTGGTACGTCTAAATATAGCTGATTTCCATTAAACACAGAAGGGGATATTTTAAAGAATATTCTGGCTACTTTTTGTTGAGCTCCAAAATGCACTATACAAATATTATAAAAGTAGTGCTATATTCCAATTTTTCTGCAGCCAATGAATAACTTTGCATGATGAAAAGTCATTTTTTTTAAATACTGAGTCAGGTGTCAAAAGAGTCTGTATGACTTTTGTAGTTCATTTCAGATCTTGTGCAGAAGGAAAATGATCAATGAATGACAAAGTTCAGTCTGTTTTTCATGCAAAACTATCATATTGGCAAGACTCAAAGTTTTATGATACTGTTTTTTGTCATTTTAGCAGCTCCAGCCCCATTTAATTAAATTAAAAAGAAAGAAAGTTTAGAATATTCTAAAAATATATATACAGTATACAGTATATATATATATATATGTTTTGTGTTCCAAAGAAGAAAGTCATACAGGTTTGGAATAATACGAGGTTCAGTACAGTAAACAATGGCATAATAATTTTTTTGGGGGGGTGAACTATGCTTTTAAGAAGTAACAAAAACAATACAGGAGAGAAAAATGAACAGATAAAGGGTACAAATCAAAAAGAAGAAAAAGGGAAGTAAGACAAAGTGTTGCCTCAAGAAAAATAGTTTTAAAGAGGTTTTGAAGGAGAGAGAGCTGTCAGAACTGCAGGGCTCATCAGTATTCCCAGAGCTAACTGAAAGCAGCAGAATGATGAAACAGTACTGCAGATGACTTACAGCTGTGGGCTACAGGACCTAGAGTGATGATACATACATACACAACCATATGAATATTATGTGGAATGTACTGCATCTAAAAGTATTAATTTCTTAAAAAAAAAAAATCTTGATCATCAAATTTTTAACAGTAGTGTATATATATATATATCTATATATATATATATATATATATATATATATATATCTGCAACTGAAACCCCAATATCTTTGCCTGATCATGCCCTGTGATAAACTTTTGATTTTTCTGCTTGTGGTTGAGAATGACCTCCACAAGCCTCATGAAGCTTAAAAAGACTGACAAACTGCAGTGTTTCTCAGGCTTGCAGCTCTCTGGTGAGCCTCCCAGCTCTCAAATATCAGCATTCCAGCCCATAGCTGTAGCTGGCAGACCATGTTGCGGTGGTTAGCACACGCATCTGACATATTGAGCTGGGTGATGCAGGTTCACATCCAGTTTGCAATATTATATAGGTGCCTAAAACCATTAAACAAGATCTGTATGTTGATGTGAAGTGTGTATATGTGCATGCCTTTGTTCCCCTGACCTGGAAGCATCCGGAGGTCAGGAGGGTATTTTTATGTGGTGGGGTAATGTAATATGGGATAGTGTGCTGTGCAAACAGTGACTCTGCTGATCTTAACAGAGGTTCATTCATGATTATGGAGTGATGAGAGCAAAATACAAAGAATGAAGGAAAGAGGAGAGAAAGAGCCTTTTTTTTAGAAGAAGTGAAGTGCAATGAAGTGACAACACACCTGCTCTGTCCCCCACAGACTTTTACGTTTTGTCACAGATGTTAGGGAATTTCAGTATGTTTTGTCCAGTCTCGTTATATTATTTTGTCCAGTGTCTCCCTGGAATGTTTTTTCTTGTGTTTCTTATGAATCATGTTGACCTCTGAATGTTTACCTTTGCCCCTGACAGGCAGGAGATAAGCACTACCATCCAAGCTGTGCACGATGCAGCCGATGCAATCAAATGTTCACGGAGGGAGAGGAGATGTACTTGCAGGGTGAGCACAACATTTTAATGATACCTTTAATACAGAGGACAAAATGTTGTAAAAGACCATGTGGTGAAACAATTCTGATATACCCACCCATATTTTATCTTAATTTCTCTCTCTCTTTCTCTCTCTCAGGTTCTACAGTATGGCATCCAGAATGTAAGAACAACAGTAGAGTGGAAGAGAAGTACAGAGTGAGTATCTATCTATCTAAACTCTTACTGTGAGCCAGTCAGTCACTTAATCAGCCTTGTCTCTCTCTCTCTGAAAGAGAAAACTTTGCTGAGCTCCTCCCTCATATTATTCCCAGAAACAACAGTCTACAAAACCTTGGGAGATGTTTAAAATGCTCACATTCTTCAAAGCGCTTTTTAAAACCTCCCTCAGTGGCTCCAAAGTTAAAATGAGGTCTCAGGTGCTCTAGCTGAAAAGAGAAGTACAGAGTGAGTATCTATCTATCTAAACACTTATTGTCAGCCAGTAAGTCAAGTTAATCAGCCCTGTCTCTCTGTCTAAAAGAGAAAACTTTACTAAGCTCCTTCCTCATAGTATTCCCAGAAACAACAGTCTACAAAACCTTGGGAGATGTTTAAAATGCTCACATTCTTCAAAGCGCTTTTTAAAACCTCCCTCAGTGGCTCCAAAGTTAAAATGAGGTCTCAGGTGCTCTAGCTGAAAAGAGAATGTATGTGTGTGTTTGTCAGTGAGTATTTTGTCCATTCTGTTGTGATTCTCCTCCTTAGGCAGCTTGGCAACATCCTAAAGGAAAACCCAGTCCGTTTGATATCTTTTACCCCCAGTCTCAGATTCAGAGCCGGGGCCCAGGTGGCTCTTGGCTGGGCCGGCGTCCCCTGGGCAGTCGTGAGGTTTGCAGTCTTCTGCTCTGCACTCCCTCCAAACTGCAATGCTTCCGGCTAACTCAACTTTCTCAGAGTCCTGCTTCACTTCGAAGCAAGACTGAACTGCTGTGTGTTGTTTTTAGCTTCATATTAGTTAACTTACACCCCCCACAGCAAGACTGAATATGCTTGCTCTCTCCTCCTACAAGTTAGGTCATAATCCCCATAGAAATGTTTCTAAATTCACAAAAAAAAAAACTTTTGTCCCACAATATCAGGATCAGCCTGCATGCATAGGATAGCAAGCAAGGCTGCGAGTAGGTGACTATGGATGTAGTGCTTGAGTTAGATGACAGCTGGCTAAGGTGGTTGATTCGAGTGTTTTGTTGAGTGTGATGTCATATCCTGTGATGCCTTTTCCTTCACAGCCCCTTCCACCCTCAGTAACATCTCTGCACCAATCAGAAAGGCAGGTACTGTATTCTGCTTCTGGCAGCAGATTGAGGAACCCAGAATGTGTTTTGCGGCTCTTACCTTTGCAGTCACCCACCAGCAGAGGGCTTTCCCCCCTCGCAAAGTTACGCCAACTTCCCCATAACAGCCTGTGTGTGAATCATTACGCTTTTCACCGCTGCAGGCATGTGGCTCAAGCCCTTCCAGCACTCCATTCACCATTACAGGAATGACGGCTCTTTGACTCTTCATGCAGAACCATCTCTAACAGAATATTCCTCTTAAAGTCATGCAATTTGGGTGTTTTTGGTGATGTTTGACCAAGAGTCATATCTGAGGGATTGGCTGGACTGGCTGCATATGGTAGGATATGATATGAAAGAGAATGCATCTTGGGAAGGCTTGCATTGGAGTATGAGGCAATAGGAGCTGGAAATTTGTGCTGAATGAAAGCCTAAGAATATGCCTCCTACACCCAAAAATAAAAATTGTCGTCATCATTTACTCTCGTCATTCATCCTCATGTCTTTAAAACCTGTATGACTTCCCTTATGAAAAAGTGTGTTTAGTTAGACTGAACATGCATGTGTAGTGTACTTCAAGTCCTAAAGTTTTACTTTAAAGTACATTTTTAAATCATTAAGTTTTAATAATACTTTATCTAGCTTTAAAAATTACACTTAATATTACATTTAAAGTTAGGGTTAGAAATACAAACCCGATTCCAAAAAAGTTGGGACACTGTACAAATTGTGAATAAAAACAGAATGCAATGATGTGGAAGTTTCAAATTTCAATATTTTATTCAGAATACAACATAGATTACATCAAATGTTTAAACTGAGAAAATGTATAATTTTAAGGGGAAAATAGGTTGATTTTAAATTTCATGGCATCAACACATCTCAAAAAAGTTGAGACAAGGCCATGCTTACCACCGTGTGGCATCCCCTCTTCTTTTTATAACTGTCTGCAAACGTCTGGGGACTGAGGAGACAAGTTGCTCAAGTTTAGGAACAGGAATGTTGTCCCATTCTTGTATAGTCTTGTAATACAGGCTTCTAGTTGCTCAACTGTCTTAGGTCTTTGTCGCATCTTCCTCTTTATGATGCGCCAAATGTTTTCTATGGGTGAAAGATCTGGACTGCAGGCTGCCCATTTCAGTACCCGGAATGCAAAATTACAATAGTAAACACTCATTTTTCAGTTAAAGACAGTTCATCATTGAATTCAGTGATGTCATCATCCAGCTCAGTTCAGTTTAAATAATATCTTTGCAATCATGTCAACGATAACGCTGGAAATGAAGTGTCCCCAACTAAGCAAGCCAGAGGCGACAGCGGCAAGGAACCAAAACTCCATCTGTGACAGAATGGAGAAAGCTCTCATGTAGCTCTCATGAAATCCAAAATGAGCCAATATTTGGCATGACATTTCAAAATGTCTCACTTTCAACATTTGATATGTTATCTATATTCTATTGTGAATAAAATATAAGTTTATGAGATTTGTAAATTATTCCATTCCTTTTTTACTCACAATTTGTACAGTGTCCCAACTTTTTTGGAATTGGGTTTGTATATTTTAAATGTACTAAATTGCAAATTCGTCATTGCAAATGTTCAAAAATATAATGTATATAAATATGTGACGTAATGATATGAGTTTAGCAATAATGTGTGTCAGTAAATTCAGAAGTATTTTTTAAATATGCAAGAAACTATGTAAGAAATTAGAAGTAATTCTGAAATTACATATAAATATATACTTAATATTTAAAAGTACATTTAAACTATAATTGCAATTATCATGCAATTAAGCATCCAAAAACATTCAAATAACAGCTAAAATTTCAGTATGTTCCATAAAATAAAATAAAACTATTGTATGGCTTTGGAAGACTTGAATGTAGTGCATGATTTACTTTATGATGCATTTATTGTCCTCTTTTGTAGCTTGAAAGGCCCAGTTTCCATTCACTTGCATTTTATGAAAAAGAGCAGCGTGAACATTCTTTAAACCTTCTCCTTTTCTGTTCCTTTGGAAAACGAAAGTCATATAGATTTGGAATGACATGAGAATAAGTAACTGTTGACAAAACGTTCATTTTTAGCTCAGCTACCCCCTTAAGCTTCCCCCTGGCATCTATGAGTGTGTTTAGGAATATGTGTGTGCATTATTTTCAGCTTATTGCTGCTAACACAACATCTCGTTCTCCCGCAGCCCACGAGGTCATCGTCTGAGAGTATCTGTTCGAGACCTGGCTCGAGCATCCCTGGATCTCCAGGTCATACCATCTATGTGAGTCCCACTCATCGGCGCCCCCAATCGTTTCCCGAGTCTGTCAGATCTTACCACTCAGTCCACAACGGATTCTGATGCTGGTACACTCCAGGGTCAATGTAAAAAAACTTGCAGGAAAAGCACAGGAGTTTGCTTCAACTTCTCTCCACTCTTTGCCTTCGACTTGTATTTGTTATCTGTAGCATCATTTCAGCATGTAACCGAATTTAGAGAATCATTTACAATAACACTGTTAAGCAAATGTTAAGCCAGGTAGCTTTTCTCATAAGCATGCCTCCAAAACCAATCGTTCATCTTTCCAAATAAGTGTATGTTCACCCTGTATGATGAGCTTTGTGACAGCTGTAGCTTTGGTCGGATGTGATGTGGATGACCTTTGACCTGTGACCTGACCTCTTCCTCATCAACACCTTTTCTCCCTGTGTTTCTCCACTTATGTGTCCCCTCCCTCCCCTGTGTCCCTCATCCTCTCCTTCCTCCAGGCAAAAGTAGACAATGAGATTATTGATTACAAGGACCTAGCAGCCATCCCCAGAGTCAAGGCCATTTATGATATAGAGCGTCCAGACATGATATCCTATGAGTCTCTCCATTCCACCTCCTCCACCCTGGAAAGACAAGGAAGGCACAGCCCTGGAGAGGTAACCCGAATTGTCAACTTTTAGTGTCTTTCTAATAAACAAACAATGTGCTATTATGACCTAATATGATATATATAGCCACTGTATGGCTGTGTAGGCATTATGCTGTCGCAGATTTATGCTTATATATTTATTTATTCTCATTTTTTTGGATAGGTGTGGCTTTCATAAAAAGCTAATTTTAGCTCTTTTACCTCAAATCAAACAGTGCACCTGCCTACAATTATGTGAACAGCCATACTCTATACGTTTAACATCCTTGTATGTCAATTTGGAGATCTGGAGAGTCTAGTCTAGTGATTATCAACCGTTTTAACTCTAGGGCCTCCATCGCCCAACTCAATATTCGAAGGCCTACATATACACTAAGCCATCTTTAGTATTTCAACAGTAATTATGACAGAGCTGCTGATTTTTGAACTTTTTTATTGATATATTGAATTAATTCACATGGTTAATTAAATAAATGAACTAACATTCAGAATTAATCAGAATCAGAATTAATACTCTGTATTGCAGAACGGCGTGTTGTTTAATAAAAATAATATTTATAGATAGAAAATAAATATAAAGATGTGAAATTTCAGTAATTATGTAATTGTTATATTAAATTAATTAATTAATTACAATTCATTTTGTGATTCCATAAGCTGTTCTATATTTCAGAACTGTATATTCTTCAATAAAAACAACAGTAATTTCACATTTATGAAAAACTGATTGTTTTTCATTTTTATTGATATATTAAATTAAAGTTTTAAATAAATACATCAGATTAATTAACCATAATTCATTTTGTGATTCCAGAAATTATGTTCTTAAATAACAAGTTATTGTGATAAACAATAAACAATAGTTATTGAGTGAAAATAGATTTACAATTTCAGTATACATCTTGATGTTTATTTTTAGAATTATACATTTGAATTAGATTTTTTGTTTTTTAAATATATTAAGAGTAATTTATTCATTTAAATACATTAAAGACTTCCTGCGGCCCCCTTGGAAGTTTGCTGAGGCCGGGCCCCGGCTCCCTGGTTAAGAACCACTGGTCTAGTCTCCATTACCAAACCAGCACATGGGTTTTGGCCACTTTGACCACCTAGTAGCTACCAGACTATCCTTATATAACAGACCCAACCCTGCCAATGCTCCATCTTTGTGATAATACCATCCCATCCCCAGGTCCGTACTCTGTCACAGTAACCATAATAGCTCTCTAACCCCATGATCCTATTAGTGTTCCAAAAAACACTATTGGTTGAGGCTCTCAGGCCACAGACAAAGCAGATGTGAGCAAGTGCGAGTATTTGCTCATTTCTCAGTATGTGATCATGTACATTGCATGTATTCCTGTCAACAAATGTTAGCTGTATGTCTATGCATGAGAGATGTGTTTTTTAATTCTCTGTGACTGCTCTTTGGTTCCCTTTGTCTATTAAACATTGTTCTGCTGTACCTGAAAACGCCTGTGCGCCTTCTCTGTGTAGAGACAGCAGTGTCACAGCGCCACCTGGTGACCATAATCAAAATCTCAGACAATCTGCGGTGATGGAGATGCCTGTTAAAGGGATATTCCCGGGTTGTTTCATCTGCATCTGTTGTAATAATTTAGACTTGTCCTTGACTGTGTTAAAACAGACAGAAAATTTATTTACAATTACAATACACACTTACAATTGAAGCCTATCAAGCGGGGATGAAATGTGAAGCTCACATTTTTGTTTGCACTTAGGTGGATTATTGAGTAGAAATGTGTTTTGTTGTTGTTGTTGTTTTTTTTGTTTGTTTTGTTTTTGTGCTATAGATCGTCAGGAGGGACTACTTTTTAAGTGTAGGAAATTTTGGTTATGCATTACCAACATATTGAAATAAAATTAAAATTACAGCAATTACATTATTCCATATATTATACCATTTCCTTAGTAATGTTCCTGAAAATATTTCATTTTTAATGTTCTTCAAAGAAATTTCTCACAAGGGCTACAATGATTTGATCATAAAATCATTAAAAGTAAAATCAATATTGTGAAATATTATAGCATTTAACTGTTTTCTGTTATAATATATTAATATATTGTTATAATATATTTTAAAATAATGCATTTTAAATTTTCAGCAGCCATTACTCCAGAAGAAATAATTTCTTGTTATTATCAATAAGGAAACAGTTGTGCTTCTTAATATTTTTGTGGCAACTGTGATACATTGTTTAAAGATTCTTTAATGAAATTTAAAATTTACAATGAAAAATAACAGCATTTTTTTTTTTGCAATAAAGTAAATACTGGCACATTTGATTACTAGAATGCATCCCTGCTGAACAATAGTATGAATTTCTTTCTTTTTTTAATACAAAAATAAATATTTACCCCACATTTTATTTGAATGATGTATTATATATATTTCAATTGGAAAACAAGACCAAAATACTGATAAAGCAAAAGTATATGGCTTTACTATTTTAGCCGTTCATGACATGAGTTTATGATGTTATAGCAGATATAACTGCACAGAGAGGGTCAGTAAGTGATTTTATCGCACCAGTTTTGTCAACACTTGATGTTATACTTTTGAAAGAGAGTAGTAACCAAATAGACTTCTATTGTACGTGTATTACAGTTAACAAAATTATTGTCTGTTCTAATCAAGTTGAAAATGACCAAGAATATTCCTTTAATGCATACCATATTATCGAGTCACCGAAAAGTTCATCGAGTAATCAGACTCAACCCCTTTCTCCCCCTACAGCCTGTCAAAGCCTCAGGTGGCAGCCCTCCCAGAGGCAGAGCCACAGTAAGTGTAAGCAGGATAGAAATAGGCTGCCGACATAACCAATTAGTTTGTGGATCACCACCCAAACTAATAAGAACACAACTAACATATTCATTTACAAAACCTTACCTAATCAAATAAGCATGAGCATCTAATGCCTCTCATCTCATTGGCTGCTATCTGAACTCTCATCTGAATAGCCACTCTGTAAGTACTTTATATTAGTTTGCTAAAGACAGTAACTTTAAGTGTGTACTCAAGAACCCAGTGGAAAACTGAAGAATCTTTAAAGCTTATACATGTGCCATGGCAATGGTGTAGATTCATACTGAACTGATATGATTTTCCCAGAAAACATAGCCTACAGCTGATCTGTGTCACATCTTTAGCATAACATGAGACAGCATCTAACATTCAAAACGAACACTGCAAGCGCTTTTTTTGCGATTCTTCTTTCACCTTCATTACATTCATTTAAATTAAAACATCATTCAATGCATGATGGGTCACAGAAAACACAACTGTTTCCATGATGCATAACATAATGTTATTTTTAGTGATTATAATTCTGTGTCCACATTCCCAGACCCTGCCACAAGACCCCTCCTCACTGTCCGCAGAAACAGTAAGTTGTCAGTGACCTCCCTCTGAACCCTGCCACAGCTGAGGCCACAGTTTTCTCTCTCTTAAATGTGCTCATCATGAAGATGGCATTGAGCTTCAGCTGACTCTTGAGCATTGGAAGAAGTCCTCTGTTTAATTAATGGCAAATACTCAAAAGTGCCATGCTGGAGTGTGTGTTCATGTTTGTAATGTCTGTCTGTCTGTCTTTGTCCAAGCTACAGCTGAGTGAATATCACAAATACACAAACAAAACTAAGCTTAAGATTTTTGTGATTGTTTTGTATTTATTTATTTATTTTAGGGATGCACCGATACCACTTTTTTCAGAACGAGCCCGATAACGATACTTTTATTTTTGGTACTCGCCGATACCGATACCTGTATTTTCACAGCATTTGTAAAAAAAAAAAAAATTTTAATATTGGCTACAGAAACAAAATAATAGCAATAAAAATAATAATATGAATCATGTTAGTTGGCTTCATTTAGCAAACAGATATTACCTTCAGTTATTTCCACACTTAATTATACCTGTTAAAATGTATTGTATACGCTTTTGTTACTTTCACTGTTCATTTTAATGGCGCATTAGAGCTGCTCCATTGCAGCAGCTCAATGCTGTAATCACAAAACGTTTTCCTAAAATAATGCAGGGAACCATTCGTTATACATTATAGGAGTGCATGCGTACTATTTTGGTGATGTAATTTGCGTCACGCGCAGTGTACACGGACCCTCGCGTACGAGTAAAAACCGAAGTATACTTCGGCCTTAAAGCAAGCTAAACATATGCAGCGCGCACACGTTTGTATTGGTGCAGAATGAGAGAGACACTTATAGCCTAGTGCATTTCACCCACTCTGCTAGTTTCACTTCTGCTTTAAATAAAGTTGTGTATGCTTGACATTTAAAATAAATGCTGTTTATAGTGAATGCCCCTATAATTTTTGTTTGTTTTGTATTTACGATTTAGTTTTAATCCAAATGCATGGGCTAATGCAGCAAACAGCAATCAAGATCATGCAACAGAAGTGTGCGCTCTCGGACTCTCTCTCTCTCTCTCTACTTACCGTCAAATAACTTTAGTAACTTGTGCATTTTTTACTTACTTGCTTTTGACATATCCGACCGAACTACAAACTTTCCATTGATGTCTGTGAGATATTCACTCGACAAGCTCACGCATCTGTGCAGCCGTGCACTCAATCCACTCAGCGCGCTCTGCTTATCAGCTCGGGCACATCCGCTATACAGGCGTGAATATTAAATGTTTAACATTATATTCATTACTTACATGTACTTCATAGACATCCTTTATCTCTAATAACGCCATTCTACTCTCTGTTGTTCTGTTTTCAGTGTTTCTTTTTCTGGACACACCTCTATTCACACGCTGTTTGGTATGGGCTTTTGGTATCGGGGTATTTTTACGAGTATAAGTACGAGGAGCGCAGTATCGGGCCGATACCAGTATCGGTATCGGTGCATCCCTAATTTATTTAATTATTTTTTTATTAAAAAGTTTGGGGTCAGAAAAAAAGAAATTCATTATACTTTTATACAATAAGGATGCATTAAATTGATCAAAATGTGCAGGCTTTTACATTGTTACAAAAAAAATCTATTTCAAATAAATGCTGTCCTTTTAAACTTTCTATTCATCAAAGAATCCTGAACAACAACAAAAAAGGATCACAGTTTCCATAAAAATATTAAACTTTTTACAGCACTAGTAATATGAAATGTTTCTGTACTTCAGCACTAAATCAGCATAATGATTTCTGAAGGATCATGTGACACTGAAGACTGGAGTAATGGCTGCTGAAAATTCAGCACTGCATCACAGGAATAAATCTATTAAAATAGAAAATGGTGATTTTAAATTGTAATACATTTTTTCGATATTACTGTTTTTATTGTACTTTTGGTCAAATAAATGCAAACTAGAAATGCAAACTTGTTTTTCCTAGAAACATTAAAAAAATCTTATTTTGTGCTTTTTACATTAAGTTGAACATTTTTGTGATATTCACTCGTCAAACAACTTGCCTAATACACAAAGCCACACATTCCTGGGTCTTAAAAGCATATACCGCAGTAGCATTATTTCAATTCCTTTTCCTAATCGTATTATTTGCTGTTCTAACCTGCTCTATCGCATATAGCCTCCTGTCTTACCTTTTAGTACTGATTCTGATCCATACTTACATAGAGGTTTTTTTTATTCCTGTTCTGTTTCAGTCTCCAAGGACACTGTCTCCCACCCCATCCGCTGAGGTTAGAGGCTTTTTATAATGCTTAGTCTTCTTTATTGCTATAGAGCCAATAGTACAAGTCCATTAAACCATGTCTTGAAAGGATAGTCCTTCCAAAAAAAGAAAATTCTGTCATGATTTAGCCAACCTCATTCTTTCTTCGGTGGAACACAAAGGTATTTTGAGGAATGTTGGTAACCAAACAGTTTCAGCTGAGTTCCATAAGTTGGTCTAAAAATATAAATATAGACAAAAACTGTTTGGTCACCAACATTATTCAAAATGTCAGAGAACATGAACATGAGTAAATGATAACAGAATTTTCATTTTTGGGTGGACTGTCCCTTTAATGCATTTAGTAATGTGAATGTGTTTTGCACCTTCCCATATGTAACGTTATGTGTGCATGTGTATGATAGGGTTGTTATGACATGAGGGAGCGCATTATGCAGAGATCCACCAGTCAGGGCTCTATCGGCTCTCCAGTCTACCACCGCCATAACTACATACCCCCTCTGTCTAAGTCGCCCCAGCACTTCCACAGACCAGGTGAGTGAAATGAAATGATCCAAATCCTCCCTCCGTAGGACTCCAGTGGAGTGTATGGATGAGTGAGATCTCCTTACAACATTTTGGTCGCTTTCACGTTGCCTTTTCTTGCTTTCCGTTTCCTCCTGAGGTTATAACCTGCCTCCCTCCTCTGCTCACATGTGCTCCTTCCATCCTCTTTTTTCCTTCATCCTCCTCCTCTGTTCCTCTTCCTCTTCTCTGAGCGGCCGGCAGGAATGCTGAAGCTCTGCTCCTCTTTGCGCTCCAGCGACACGCGCCCTACCTCCCCTTTCCGACATCACTTCCTCCCCCATAACAAAGGTAAGGCCTCTCCACTCCCCGTTGCCCGACCTCTTCGCCTCATTTTCAGTGTCAATATCGTTCCATAGATGCAAATCCACCCCCCTCCTCTGATTCAGACCTGCTGAATTGTCTTGACTGTGACTTTTTAGCTTGTAAAGCTGTGCTTTTGGCAGCTTTGTTTGAGAAATTCACAAGTCCTGGAGTTGAAACGCTTGAATGGCACTCTTATGAGGTCAAGGGCTGTGTTTGATCAATAAATCAAACTGAAGCACATCTAATGCAAGTTGCTAATGCACAGTTTACTAATCACATGCTCATGTGTGTAATATCCCTCTGTCCTCTCCACAGATTCTTTCTGCATAGGTATGTCTTGGCTTCATGGCTGTTGTTTACAATTTGGTGCCTGTGGCAGTTCAGAAGCATGCTGGTTCTGTGTATTTGACAGTTAATTAACCAACAAGTTATATGTCAGTCCATTAACCAACTTTGAACCAAGTCACTGTGACATTACTAATACACTTATACTAATAACTCTGTTCCAAAACATAGTGAGCTGCCTTGCCTTACTTGTATTTTAAAACGCTGCATAACCAGTAATTATGGGTATCATACATTTGCATGTCTGTCTTTTATATAATTTTTGACAATCAAGCATATTCCCCAAATAATAATAATAATATTTTTCATTATTATTATTATTTGCATTATATAATTATTATGTAATTGCTATTATAATTTGGGGGATATACTTTATTGCCATGAAAATAGATAATTGAATATCATAAAACTGTAAAGAAATGTTCTCAAAATTAAAACAAAATAAAAAATTTGATCAATTGCATACAACAAATAAATACTACTACTAATATATATGAGTAAATACTACTATAATAATTATTATTATTAACTCAAAATAACACAATAAATAATAATAATTATTATTGTTGTTGTTATTTAATATTTAAATAAGCATAAAAATACAAAGCACATAGTATTGCATAAAATAATCCAATTTGAATTACTAGAATTTAAAAAAGAGTAAGGAAAAAAATCTTTAAAGGCAGCATTTCTCAATTTTTCCACCTTTATGGATTATTGAAGGTCTTTTCAGTGGATTGTGGGATTGCTCTTTCCATTAGGGGTGTATGCAATGTTTCCAAACAGAGTATTTTAGGAGACAACGTGCTTACCTTTTGTAACAGCAGGGGAGTGCATGTGATGTCTTGAAATGCTGTCTATGTAGGCAGCCCACTAGTTTTTGGAACATGTGCATGTTGCATGCTTACATTTGAAAAGTAAAAGTAACCTTTTAAAGGATATTCAGTCATATTTCCATCAGACACAAAGACATTTATCTTTTATTGTGGTGGTGAATGTTACCGTGTTCATGACACTGAAGTATTTGCATGCTGCTTTCCTGAGGCATTCCTCTTTTTCCAATCTGTATGTCCTTCAACACCTGTTCTCTTTGTGGGGCCGACCCACACAGTCCAGTCCGTCTCTCTGTCACCTCTCTGTTAAAGCCCTTTTCTGTTCGTCCATCTTACCGTCAGTGAAGATTTATTCCGGCATTATTCTCTCTTTCTTTCCTTCTTTTATTCTTTCTTTCTTTTTATGTTCTTTTCTTTTTCCCGCTTATTCTGCTCTTCTTGTTTGGAGGCACTGAGCCATCCAGTGGCCGGAGTTCTCCCCTTTCCTCTCGGCCGGCCACCCCGACCCTCTCTCTGACCCCTAAACATTTCCACATCCCAGGTAGGAGCCGGAGCATCATCTCCCTGTTTTTCTTCTCTAGAGAGTTTTTCTGCTCTGTCTCTCTCCCTCCATTCTTTCATTTCAGTCCCCTCCATAATGCATCTATGCTTTTTCTTATTTATTGTTTTGATGGTAGATTTTGTTTACCTTTTATACTGAGTACATGTACTGCCACAAATAATTCAGAAATTTTGGTCATCATGTATATGCATCGCATTTCCCCAAATCATGATCATAACTGATACGATTTGTAACTTAGGTGGTATTACAAATGTGTTGTTAAAACTAGATCTTTATTTTCTAATTCACAGACCAAGGCATTAACATGTATAGAAAACCACCAATCTACAAACAGCATGGTATGGTTGCTTCAAATTTTAAGCTTATTCTATCTATCTATCTATCTATCTTTTTTACACGCCAAAAAAGTTTTTTGGTGCCTGTCATTATGGTTTGTGCGCAAGCATGATTTCTGACAATTATTTTTATTATTTACATTTATATGTTTGTTTATGTGTGTTGATTCCATTCATCCATTCATTTGTGATTATGATGCTATGATCACATCCTATGTTCACATGTAAGTACCATTTCACATCATAAACTTCTCATCTTTCAATTTCTTTAATCGCTTCCTCACAACCAAGTCGCCCATACACTCTTAAAAATAAAGGTGCTTCATGATGCCATAGAAGAACCTTTTTGTCTAAATGGTTCCATAAAGAACCTTTAACATCTGAAGAACCTTTCTGTTTCACAAAAGGTTCTTCGTGGCAAAAGAAGGTTCTTCAGATTACAAAAATGTAAGAAAGAGATGGTTCTTTAAAGAACCTTTGACTGAATGGTTCTTTGTGGAACCAAAACTGGTTCTTCTATGGCATCGCTTGAAGAACCTTTTGAAGCACCTTTATTTTTAAGAGTGTAAAAAGAAACTAAAATCCTTACTTCTTTACTAATCACTGTAAAACTTTGATTCTGCATTCTAATTTCATGAAGTAATAGCCTGCAAGATCCCATAACAAATTCAATGGCACCTCAGATGATTCTGCTTTGGTCTCTATCTTTCATACTCTGTAAATTTACACATCAGGCTCGTTTCAATAAATTGAATGGCACCCTTTGAACAGTTGTGTTTACCGGTTTCAAAATATAGTTCATATATCTACATTTTCTGCTTGCTTGATATTATAAAAATCTGTACCTTTTCAGTAGCATGTGTGCTCTGTCCACTTTATCCTTATACTAGTACATGCAGTACTGGCCATTGACATTCAGAGCTTTTGATATTGTCTCTAAATACACCCTACTGGTGTTTTACTCCAAAAAAAAGCAACAAATTAAAAACTGTTTAATTGCATTATGCCTATTTAACTGATTGTTTTACAAATAAAAATCCTGAAATGCTCTGAACTGAATGGCCTGCACTACACTTATTGCCAGCCTATGAGAGTCCGTCACTGATAGTCCAGTTCCCCTCAAAATACCGATTCAGATTCAGCTGCACTGGCAGTCCAAAGCAAGTCCGCTGATGACATCATCAAATCATCCAAGTTCCCCGCTGCTCACGCCCCTCGGTCGGACGAAACCCCAAAGATCGAGACCGACTACTGGCCGTGTCCTCCATCCCTTGCTGCTTTAGGTACGCTCCTGCTGCTGGCGGTAACCAAAAACTAATGGAAGCCATCTGTGAATTCAAACGATGCTCTGTGGATTGAGAACTCTTGGATTGCTGGTGGTAATTTGGCCTGATGTTCCCATCAGACTGGTCCTAGAGTTGTAGTGGCAGTAAATCTGAGGAAACTTTAGGATAGATAAATTTACAGGGACATAGATTTGCCAATAAATCTATGTACATCAAAAATCATAAATCAAATACATTTTCAATCAAAAATCATTTCACCACTCAATCTGATCATGTTTATATTTTTTATGATTTGTTTTTATATGATTTAACTCATTGTCATTGTTTTCCATGTGTACTGTACAACTGAACTCTTCAAGGTCACCAAGGGGTACAATGGCATGACTATGTTGCAAACATCTCAATATTTTTTCCCTATTTCTTTCTTATTTTATTTGAAAATCTTTTTTGGTCATGGACGGGCAGGCTCAGATGGGAGGAGTCGGTCACGAGATGAAGAAGAGGAAGAGCAACTGAAACGCCGACAACTTCAAGAAGAACATCTCAGCAAGGTCAAGCGTGTATTAAAGCTTATACATTGCTTTTTAGGCAAAGCAGCCATTTAAATGCATATATATGCCAAATTGTGCTGCATTGCAGTTATTTACACACCCTTTCTGCATTGTTTTATTACCAAAAGCACTAAAATAATTATGCAAACCCACCTAATTTGCATATTTGCACAGTAACTGGGGGTGTTTAGTGAATAAGGCTAATAAATGCAGGCTAATAAGCATGCTAAAGTGGAATGCATTCACCTCTGTGTTTGTGCTTTTAGTACTCACATGCTTGTGTTTAACTGCAGATCCAGTCTGGACTTGGGAAGCTCATTCTGAAGGAGGAGATGGAAAAGGAGATGAACAAAGAGAGATACATACGAAGTGTGGCCGCCCAGCGCTTTGACTCCCAGTATGCTAACTGTACCACAGGTATAATGCCACATACTTTCAAAGCAACCACAACAAATGTAGCTTTATTCTGGCATTAGTACACAAAGTATTCTGTCCTCTGCTATAGACTCCCAAACCGTAAAAACATCATCTCTGCCTGGATATGGACGGAATGGCCTCCATCGGGTAAGTCTCAGTCATTCATCTGTTATTTACCTATATTTAATAAATGCATGCAAAACTGTATCAAAATGTAATTTATTCTTGTGATGCAAAGCTGAATTTTCAGCATCATTACTCCAGTCTTCAGTGTCACATGATCCTTCAGAAATCATTCTAATATGCTGATTTGGTGCTCAAGAAACATTTCTTATTATCAATGTTGAAAACAGTTTTCGCCCCTTATTTTTAAAAATTATCTAAAAAAACATGATACACTAATATTCAGAAGTTTGGGGTGAGTACAATTTAAAAAAAGAAAAGAAAAAGAAGGAAATGAATACTATTATTCAGCAAAGATGCAATAAATAAATAAAAAACTGATGAAAAGTGACGGTAAAGACATGAATAATACGCAAAAAATCTATTTCAAATAAATACTTTTCTTTGAACCTTCTGTTCATCAAAGAATGCTGAAAAAGTATAAAATTTTTATGAAAAGATTAAGCAGCATAATCTGTTTTCAACATTGATAATAATAAAAAAAACATTATTAATAAGTAAGCATCAATAATAATTGAGCAGATACATTTATTTATAAATATATTCAAATAAAAACTAATTATTTTAAATTGTAATAGTATTTTACAATATTACCGTTTTTACTGGATGTTTGATCAAATAAATGCAGTCTTGGTGAGCATAAGACTTCTTGAGCATGTGGAATAAATTAGGCCAGTATAACTAAACTAAAGTGCATCTTTAATGAGTTTCTTTTTGTCTATGCTTCCAGCCCCAGTCTACAGAACTCTCTCAGTATAACAGTTATGGGGATGTGTGTGGAGGACAAAGAGGTAAATTGCAATACGTCTAATACTGAAAATACATCTAATAACCGAAAAAGCTCTTTGATAATATAATAACATTTGGGAATTTGTTTCTTTCTGATTTACACAGATTTCAAGGTATGTGACTGACCCGCAGTATTTACTGAGCATGTGCACATATGGAAATCAAATCATGCTACATGTAACCGGAATGGCACTCATGCCTTCATTGCTATGCTTGTGTCTGAGTTTGAGCCATGGGGAAAGACAAGTGCACAGTCAAGGGTTTGATATGTTGAAAAAATCCCCCACCCTTGAGAACACATCACATGGATAGTGGCTGGATCCACTTCCCTTCCGAGAACTTGCTACAGAGCAATAGCTGTTAGGAATTAGATCCAGACTATTCCCCAAGGTTCTGAATTCTTGAAAACACTTTCTGCTTTCTTTTCTTATCATTTGCATCACGTGTATGTGTTCTGTTCTATAGCCCACCCAAGATGCCCAAGATTCCATTACAAGAATGGACAGGGGAATGTCTATGCCTAATATGTTGGAATATAAAGCAAGTATCCCGAATATTTTCAAAAATTATGTTTCTCTTCTCTCTTCCATCTCTAAATACTCCTCTGTGTTCAATAAATAATCCCCCCCCCCCCCCCCCCCCCACTGGACTGTAATTTTGGCTCATCTTTACAGGCGATGGTCAGTGGGAAGAGCAAGACTAGAATAACTTGTATATCTTCCAGTGCTATGAAATGATGTCATCACATGACATACTCTGTTTTAGCAGAGCATAGTTTCGAGATCATTCAATCATTTTGAACTCCTGGTTCTCGTTAAAGAGGCTTCATCATGGTAACATATGGTAATATTTTGTGAAAGTGGTTGCTTTAGTTACCCAGAAGCCTGACACTCTCTAGGGATGAACTTAAATTCATGCGTCAGCTATGGCTAATGTTTATTGGCTACATTAAATAGATTAGAACTTAATAGGCTTTCCCAGCAATGTAAAAAACAATAACTGGCATGATTGTAGACTGTTAACTGTCTGTAGAAGTGCTAGCATTAACAGCACTATAATTGCTACAGTTGGCAAAAACGCCCAGGCCAGCTGTAGGGGAAAACAAATCTCTGTGACCATAGTTACCCTTTCATTTCAGGGGGGGAAATAAATAGATTTATAGATTTTGTTTTTGTTTTTTTGAAAGCACATTCTGAACATTTTCTAGCCAACTGAATATCAGAAGCGAAAAGGAGACTAGACTATAAGAGACGACTAAGGAATTCCATATAATATTGGCACCAAAGATTACGTTGCATATTGTATTACAAATAATATGCACTAATAAGACACTGACTGACTGTATGTATGAATCTACACCGATTTAATTGAAATATTGGTCATTACATTTTAGCTGATCCAGCAGTTATATATGAATTACACAATAGTTTACAAGGTTTCTTTAATTAATTATTCAGTGACCATTAAATTGATGAAAAGGTAATGGTAAAGATTTTTTAACTTATTTCATAAGATTTCTATTTAAAATAAACTTTAAGCTTTCTGTTTATCAAAGAAGGCTGGAATTTTTTTTTTATCCCAGGTTCCACAAAAATATTAAGCAGCACAACTGTTTTCAACATTAATAGTTATAAGAAATGTCTCACAAAGGCAAATACATAAGGAAAACTAGTAAAAAACTGGTTTGTGGGTTTCTGCTGGTTTATCAGGTCAACCAGTTAAAACCCTCAATAAAACCAGCCCACAGAGTTGAGAGACCAGCGAAGACCATAAAACAAGCTTAAGCTAATTTTATAATGTTTTCAGCTGCATGTCAGTGGATGTGAGACATTTTCTGACATTTACTTACTGCATTTGCTATTCACAAACTTATTTAAATTATACATTGTGATGTCTGTTGCTGTTACTTGCGCCAAAGACACATTATTATTTTCCCCCATACAAATGAATATGGTACAGGAACCAGGATTTGTTCTTCTCCATGCTAAACCACACCACCAGTTTATTATGTGTTGCTAACTGTATCTATATTGCACTTAAAGCATTAGGCCTATATTACTTCTAACCAGCACTTCTTTCCTATATTGAGAAACACAGACTTTCTGCTTTGTAAAAACAGTACATGCTCACACTCTCTCACACACAAGGCTCACCTACTGTTTGTTCCTCTGCATGCTCTGACCTCCTCCTGCATACTCACTCTCTCACTTGCACCGTGTGTAGTGTTGTATTTTGGCAAGAGTTGATGTTTGTGTGCTGTGTTAGAATGTAATGACTGTGCATTATTCCCTTGTCCATTTGCTTTCAGCAATTCATTGTGTTTGGCAAATGCCTCGCATAGCATTCTCCATAACAACACAATCCCTCCTTTTGTAAAGGTGTACCCATATGAAATGCTCACTGTCACCAACAGAGGGCGTACTAAGCTCCCGAAGGATGTGGACAGGACAAGACTTGAGGTAAATAGCCCCCAATAGACTCAATGAAGGGAAACGGAATGATTGTCCACTTTATACCGTCCTGTACTACATGCAGTACTGGCCATTGACATTCAAAGCTTTTGATATTGTCTCTAAATACACCCTACTGGTGTTTTACTCCAAAAAAAGCAACAAATTAAAAACGGATTAATTGCATTATGCCTATTTAAAGGTGCAATAGGTGATTGTCTTCAGAAACATTTTTTGTTATGCTGGTTGAAAGTCTCTTCACATCCTGATAGCAATCATTAAGTTAAATGATCTAAATGTATATATCTGTATTTATATAATCTATGGAAGGTGTAGGACCAAGAAATGTTGGTCCAATCAAATAATTTATTTTCCGTATTTTGCGACCTGAAAAGTTTGACCCCTGTGATTTGCGTAAATCCGATAAATACTCGCATACTTATTAAATAATAAAAAATATTATTTACATAACATTTATTATTATTATTATTATTATTAAAGTATTATTATTTAAATGACAAAAAATTAATAATTAACAGTGTAAAATTACTTTTGCAATAATACTAGGCTACTGTGCAGAATTTTTTTTTGTTAGTTTTGTTAAATACTCAAACACTTAGGCTATTAAATAATATTTTTATTTAAATTATAAAAAATTAACTAATAAATATATTACTTCAATATACTATTGTAGAGTGAACATTTGTATTTAATAAAATAATAATAATAATTGTTGTTGTTGTAGTAATATCAAATGTCAAATGTCACATGCCTGATGATTAATGAATAATTCTGCTCTCTCCTTATTTATGTACAGCGTCACTTGGCTCCCGAGACATTCTTTGATATTTTTGGGATGGAGATCCATGAGTTTGACAGACTTCCTCTTTGGAAGTGCAATGACATGAAGAAGAAAGCCAAGCTCTTCTAACTAGCTGATTGTGCATGTTTTAATTTAATAGTCACTAATATGATTTATTAGAGCGATAGTCCTATTTTTTCCTTTTTTACATTTTTTTGCATCCAATTACATGCACAAAAAAAGTTTTATTTTGCTTCAAAAAGACCACTTTTTATTTTCACAAATCTAGATATCTTTATCTTTAAATGAGTGAGTGTTTGAATAGGAACAAAATGCGGTGACCCCCTAGATGCAAACACATGAGCGAGAGGAGCTGATGGTGTGCCTGCGCTCATTAAACCTGCCTCCAGGACCAGAGAGATTTATTCTCCTCCCTCCTGGCCCTCTTGTAAAACAGGACTGTAATTTTTTAGATTGGGACCCGGGGGCTGTCAGCAGGGATCTCCCTCTAAACAGGCCTTTAGGTGGTGGAGTTGTAGGGATCCCTGGGGACCCCCTGCTGCTGCAGACCTAACGAGACCTTTGAAGTGCGTTAAAAGCGGGAAGTGAGAGCTACTGAAGATCCTCCACCTGCGGAGCAGAGCTTCTGGAAGGCATTAGAAACTGAAATCAGCGTCCTGTCCCACCAGCACTCTGCTGCCTCGTCACAAACCTAAAAAAAAAAATCCCATCCTACATGTAAAGTAACAAGCATGTTCACCATAACCAAAGCCCAAAACAGCACCTGAAATAGATAAGTTCTTTATCCAAAATCCACTAGTCTGCTATCCAGAAGAGGCGGTGGTGATTATTATTATTATTATTTCGAAAATTAAACTTCAATTATTTTTAAAAACGATTATTAAATGTCGCCACTAGAGGTCAGATATGGGACGATAACAGACATCGGCCCACTCTGAAACCGCTTCCTCTGAATCAGACAATCCGTTTATTGTGACTATTGCAGATTTTTCTGCAATATTAAACAGCGTTTTATTTTGAATAAAGCAAGAAAAGCCTTTGAAATGATTGCCTCAGGCTGATGATTCACGGGGCAACTTTGGACAGTGTTGCGTCAATGGGCAGCCAGGTGAGACACAGGGCCCATGACCAATCTAAATTATCCAGATAGAAATTTGTTACCCATTCTCAATGGGAACGTGCCCAAGCAACATCGCTCAAAAAAAGTTGCCCCGTGTATCATCAGCATCAGAGGTGTTTCAATACTGCCACTGTGTTGACTCGGGATTGTCGGAGCTGTAGCCATAGCATTTGTGCCAGGTGTAGACTCGATATCAGGGCCGTATCTCTGTCATTCATTTATATTGCTGCCGAATAATGCTGTTCCCACAGACACTGTCTTGGCTTGCAGATGTATTATGGGCCGCCGTTGGCTATTATTCCCAGCAGTTTCCTGTGTTACTAGCAGGGTTAATGACAGAGAACTAGGACTTATAACAGCATTGTGCTTTTATAGTATCACAAAACATATGACTATAACGAGTGTGATTACTAGAAACAGACCTGTATGTCACTTTAAAACAGAATGAAGAGTTGGTTTTGATACCCCTACTGTGTACCTCACCTTTTTCTGTCTTTTTTGAGGGAAAAGATTTGATGATAATGGTGTATAAGCTCTGCTGAGTAATAAAACTCTGCTTCAGATCATATTGTCTGACGTAGTTATTACTGTGTGTGTGCACTTTACATGAAATACAAGCCCCTGTGCCATAAGGGGGCCGTTACAAGTGGGAGGTCTGCCTGTTGAGTCACTTGGAAACCCCTGGGTGCTTTCCTTCATGTTCTCTGCTGCCTGATAAATGTACCCGGTGGTATGACCTGTTTCCCAAAACACTCTCCTCCCAGGCTCCAGAGTCAGTCGTATTCAAAACAAGCCTTGGCACTGTGTTACTCTACAGTGGTTCCACTCTGAATTGTAAAGGTATTTGAGCAAGAGAATGAGTGTTTATTGGTGTTTCTGGTCACCTATACCACTGTCATCCTCCTGCACCGTAGGAACAGAAAGACACATTTATCCATGTTTGACAGACTGTGACAGACTCATCAGTACAAGAAGATATGCATGAAAGAAATGAGTCAGGGATGTGATTTATTTGTATTTTATGACCCATTATATAGAATAACCCATTATTGGATGTATTATAATAACAAAAACATTATTGTTAAATATAATTTTTTTTTACTTCACAATTGTTTGATTTTTACCATTTAAATAATAATAAAAATTTAATAATTTTTTTGAACAATAATTATGTTTTAAATAATTTTTACAGTACAGTAGTTTTGCTGTTTTATTTATTTCTATAATTTGTATTGATTATAATTATAATTTGGATTGATAATTTGTATTGTATAATGTCTATCATTTATAATTATTATCAATATATTATTAAATAAAAAAAATCAGTATAATAGTATGGCAATAGTAATATATTGATTTGTTTAATTTTTATACTGTAAATAATAAAATTTAATATTTTTTAATAATTGCTTTAAACACTCATTTTTACAGCACTTAATATTTTTACATATTTACAATATGTATTTATTGATTTGTTTAATTTTTAATTAAATTAATTTCAATTTATTGAAATTTATTAAAATAAATCAATTTATTTTATTTCAATAAAGGCGTGAGACAAAAAGTCTTTTGAAGATTTATTTTCTTGCAAGAAAAGGTCAACAGGCGTACAGATTGGCTGCAGAGTGTGACCAAGAGAGACACGTTGACTCAGCATTTATACCCTAATCAAATCCGGATGCTTCTATCTCATCCAATCATACCGCATGTTCAACAAATGTGTCCATTTAAGGTATCTAACTATGTCCGCTAGATGCATACCTTAGTAGCCGATTTAATGCAAATTATCCTCTAAGAAGCTAGGTCCAAAATAACATTTCACACTTGTCTTGTGCACACACACATCACATAGATTTCCTGTTATCTCCTATCGCCCAGGTCTATTTCCTCCACCTAAATTAATAATTAATAATACAACAAAATATTTTGAATAATAATAATATAAGCATACTGAATTTGGGAAATACAAGACCCTGTACAAAAAGAGGGCAGTTACAAATGGAGGTTTGCCTGTTTAGTCCTGCTCTAAATTGTAGAATGGGAGTATTTAAGCAAGAAAATACGTGTTTATTGGTGTTTCTGGTCACCCGTACGACTGTCACCCTCTTGCACACTTTTTTCATGTTCAACAGACTGTGACATGGACACACTAGTACCAAAAGATACACATGCATGCAAGGTTCCCATCCTGTGGAGCTCATTACCATGCTTGGTTTGATTTGTTTTTTAGGACGCCTATTCATTACTTTCACCAATTCAGATGTGCAGACTTTTGGTTCTGGCAACTCATGCCTGGTTTGTGTTTTGCCATCCTCCTCATCCACGCCGTCTCGCTGCTGTATCCACTGAACATCTAGGGCAGAGAGGGGCTTTTCCTCAATATGTGCCACCCTGAATGTTCTCAGCAGATCATTCTCACACCAAAAACCTGTTTTTTTCTTGTATATAGTAGACCGAACCTGATCGCTCAGTTTGGGAGTGGCAGAATAATATTATTTCATGACATAACGCTCTCCTCTCAAGGATCCATGGGAGCTCAGAACTGAGTTTGATCAGGTGCCTTGCTTTCCCTTACTGAGTGAAAAGCTACAACGGCTTGCCAAGGTGGGTTACTGTCAACAGTCAGCAAGACAGCACAGTAGGGCAGAACTTCAGAAGAACATGGATATGGCTTTCAGACCAGGTATTCCATCTTCTATCCTTTTATCTGCCTGGCGGTCAGTTATTGTGCTCAGTGATGGATAGCATCTCATTGCCCCGTTGCCCTGACTGATGTACTTGGCACATTCTGAGCACCTCTTTGTGTACAAAGACTTTAATGGTGTTTTGTGAGTGTATGTCCATGTGTGTAACATGGGAAAGGCCCCAGTGCAGGGATGGGGCTCAATCAGTGACCCCTGCTCTCTGACTCACAGCTGTGGAATGTTCTTTGTGCTTCAACCAGTAGCAGCCAGGAGGATCTGCCAATGTCTGAACCCACACCATCCAGCTGATACACAGCATCCAAACAATGTTCCCACAATGCAACCCTTTCAAGCATCTGAGCGGCATTCCAGATTCTTCATAAATGTGATACCTGTTAGCCTTTGAACTTGAATCTTGAAGTCTGTTCAAAAGCGTATTCCCGTTGTTCCTTTTATGCTCCATGAGTTTGAACAATATGACTCCCCTCATTTTTTCCTCTACAAACAAACGTTTGGGAAGCAGACCACCCTCCGTCAGGCCCCCTTCCCACACACGTCTCGCAGACAGTTTTTCATTCACACATCCACCTCTAAAGCCACAGGATCAGCTGAGTCTGAATACTGACTGGAAACCTGGTAGATTAACTAAGGCAGTTTGTATAGGCTTTCCATACTGACTCAGTTAGAGGGGATTACTCTGTCGCCCAGACATGAGTAACCACTGCCGCACAAAAATATTCTTACATCCGGCCTTGATATTGAAAAATGGTGCCGTAAAGCACAACATGGTGGGGTTTTCTATGAATGGCAATGACAAATTCAGGTCATGAAAATTTAAGATTCAAAACAGTGACTGCTGCTTTGATGTGTAATTACGCCACCAGCGTCACAAAAGGAAATTGCATGGAAAGGTATTTAGGCTCCCCAGGCACCGCAGCATAAATGGCTGCCCACTGCTCCGGGTGTGTGTGCACATTGGATGGGTGAATGCAAAGCACTAATTCCAAGTATGGGTCACCATACTTGGCCACATGTCACATCTCTTTTTTATATATATATTAGTTGGGGGTTCGGTGCCTTGCTCAAGGGCACCTCAGTCATGGTATTGAAGGTGGGAGAGAGCGCTGTACATTCACTCCCCCCACCTACAATCCCTGCCGGTACAAGACTCGAACCCACAACCTTTTGGGTTATGAGTCTGACTCTCTAACCATTAGGCCACGACTTCCCGTTACACTGGTCATATTTTCAAAGGACTGGTTGTTTAGATCTCTTTAAACATTCATTTTATGAAGATCTCCATTTCTTAAATGAAACGGCTGTTCAGAAGTTTGGGGGTTTTGAATGTCTCTTATGCTCACCAACACTGCATTGATTTGATCAAAAATACAGTAAAAACTGTAATATTGTGAAATATTATCGCAATGTAATAACTGTTTTCTATTTTAATATATTTTAAAATGTAAGTTATTCAAAGCTGAAATTTCAGCTTCCAGTCTTCAGTGTGACATGATCCATAAATCATTCTAATATGCTGACTCAGAAACATTTCTTATTATTATCAGTATTGGAAACAGTTAGGCTCCTTATATTTTTTGTGGAAACCATGATACATTTTCAGGATTGTTTGATGAACTAAAAGTTCACATTTGTTTTTTGTTGTTGTTTTTTTTGTAGTCTTTACTGTCACTTTTGATCAATTTAGTGCATCATTGCTGAATAAATGTGTTAATTAAAAAAATTACTGAATCAAAATGTTTAAACATAGTGTATATAAATAATTGTTTGCATATGGGAAATCGACACGCTCTATATATACATCACCATATTATGTTAAAAGGGAATTCAGTTCTAGCACTGACCTACTTATATGCTAAGAAAACAAACACAGCATATAACAAATTATGATTTATATGCATCTAATCCCCTAGTTCACAGAAAAGGTCTTGACAGGGAAGTGGAAAGTTCTTGCAACCCCTTGGGGTTTGGTGGAGGGGCCAGCTTCTCAGAGCATATGACTCCCATTCACCCAGTTCACAGACAGGAAAGGGTTCTCACACTCGCTGATCTATTGGCACAAAGATATGATGATGATCCTAATGTAATTGTCCTTATCTACAGCAAACGAGTTTGGTTGGGCTGTAAATATTCCTGTCAGGTTTACGCAGCTACTGTGGTGGACCCATAACCTGTCCAGACTAACCTGTCCCCCTAACCTGTTTAGGTATGTTTTGTGTACTCAAAGGGAGGGACAGGAAGTAAATAAACCTGTTCACCCCTCACAGACAGGTGTACTGAAGGGATAGTTCACCCAAATCATGTCATCATTTACTCACCCTCAAGTTGCACCAAACATGATTTTCTTTTTTTCTGTTCAGCATAAAAGAAGAAATTTTGAAGAACATCAGTAACCAAACAGTTGTTGGTTCCTATTAATTTATAGGCTGAGAAATCAGCAACTGTGATATTAAAATTGCTTTTAATTTTCCAGTTACTTTGCACTATTTTGCAATAGTAATCCAGATTATATATGTTCTTTATGCATTGCGTGCCCTAAACAATTGGGTTGTTTTATCTTAATTGTCCAATGTATATAATTCATTTAATTCAATAAGTAGCCTAATCTAATCTTGGATAGCTAGTGAAGAGGTATAATAATTACACAATGCTTTAGGCTTAAAGTCAAAATTACGAATAGGCCTATCTAATATTCCCTAATGCATTGCAAGGGCTTTCAAACTGGGGCCCAGGGACCCAATGTAAAATATAAAAACATATCAATAATAACAAATACAATTTAAATAAATAAATAATGTAACATTTTCTAGAAACCTTTACATATATTTATAGTATTACTCCATATATTTGATGAAAATATATAGCTGCATTTTACATTTTA